AGGAATGCTAAGGCAGAGAGAGGTGGACTTCATTCCGTGACACTGCCTAGCTCGTGTGTGAGGCCTTCCAGACCCATGTATGGTGATCATCTGCACCACCTATCTCCAGATCCAAATGATGCTCAAGTGTTACCTAATGTGGTGAGGGGGAAGCCATCAGTTTCACTGCTCAGCTAGAAACCAGCCTGCACTGAACAGAACAAAGCTGTTTCTCTCCCCTCTTCTACAGCATACTCAGAGCAACCAGCAACCTCAGTCTGCCACACACACCTTGAACCACCACATCTGGCTTTGGGATGGTAGAAAACCTGCGATTCAAAGGATCGATTTCTCCTGGAGCAAGGAATCCCTGTGGAAAGAAATAACCACAAATGGAGATACTGCTACCAGTACATTAGCAACAAGAATGCATCAGCGGCACAGATCAGTGCCGACATCCAAATCAGGTGGGAAACCCCATTGAGAACCATAAGGTTCAAGAGCAGACCAGATTCACACTTAGTTTTTAAGTCCTCTAGGGAAGCTCAGTCTAGCAAAATCCTCCTCCTTTTGCTAGTTATCCTAGAGTTGTGGCTCTTCCTTTACCAAGAGCTACTTCACTTCCTTTGAAGGATGCCAAGTAATTAACATGATCTGGCCAGAGGAGAGATTTCATTCATTAATCCAGGGGTTCCCAACCTTTTTGTGCCGAGGACCAGCAAACCATGGACTGGAAGTGACCAGCATACTACAGGCAAGTAGCCAACCCTTTTTTATACTCAGCATAATTATGCAGTGGTTCCCAACCCCTGGGCCGGGGCCCAGTGCTGGGCTGCGAAGAGTTGGCTGTCGGTCCACAGCAGGGCTGGCTTTCTGCAGACCAACAGCCACCCTTTTTTATAATGAGTATAAAAAAGGCTGCCGGTCCGCAGTATGCTGATCACTTCCAGTCCACGGTCTGCTAGTCCACGGTTACTTCCAGTCCTAAAGCCAGCCCTCCTGTGGACCGGCAGCCAACCCTTCACAGCCTAGCACTGGGCCACAGCCCAGGGGCTGGGAACCACTGCATGATTAATCCCACTTAGGCTTCATTTGACATAGTCTAGCGAGACTGTTTAACAGTCTGTAACAATGTTTGGCCTAACATTGTCCATTTCCAAGACCCTCAAAAATGGGACAGTGATGATGCTGAAGGAACTGGTATTGTCAGAAACAGGAATGAGGCTCATCAAGCCATGGCAAGAGCAGCTCCAAGATGCAGGACTGTGCACTGCTCTGCACAATCCTGCCCTCTAGATTTCACTAGTCTGGCTGGGAGAAGCTTTATTGCAGAAAGGAGGGCCAGGTAGGAAGGCAAACAACACTCCCTAGACAAATGTCCAGGCTCTGGAGAAGGCATGTTACACAAGTGGCTGCCTGGTGAACAGAGAGAAAGCACAATGCAGCGATCTGAGGAAGAAAGGATGGAGACAAGCCTTGGCTAGGCCGTACTGCCTTCAGCAGACTCAGCACCTACATTTGAGAGGCCTGGCAGAGACCCCATGACTGAAGGGCTACAAGGAAAATGCCTCCGATTCTACACAGCTCAGGGTGTAATCACGCAGATTTAAAGCAGCATCCAGGCCTGAGTTTCTCAGGTCAAGCATTGGAACAGGCTACCTAGAAAAGTTGTAGAATCTTTAACCTGCTCTTGAAAGTTTTCAAGGATGGATAGACAATTGGCTGCGCTGTGTCCTGTTTAGTCAGGGACAATCCTGCCTTGAGCAGGGGGGCTGGACTAGATGACCTTGTGAGGTCCCTACTTTCTGTGATCCTATGCTGAGCACTCCCCACTATGTTTTGTGCTGGGTAGAGATGCAAAATGCTCACAATTGAGATATTTGCCTTTTCAGCGCGTCAGTGACAAATCTGCGGAGCTTGGATTACAAAGCAGAGTGGAGACAGCCCCCCCCCACCAAGGGTCTCAGACTGGGGTAACAGGTATGGTCTTACCTCTGCTAATAAACAACCCAAGATGTAAAGAGACTGGCCCCACATGAGCGGCAGCTTGCCAAGAGGCACTCGGTCAACAGTGTGAGGATTCATATACTCTTCATCCACCTGAAGGACAAATTTGTGAGATTAGGAAGCCTAGAACAACTAGCAGACAAGAGATGCTGCAAGGCATCACCCCCCCCACCCCAGTCAAGGGTGCATGTTTTCAGTACAGCTGCCTGCATCTCCATAGCAAGGCAGCGCCACCCAGAAAACACTGCCATCCATACCCTGACACAAAACAAGCCCCACAAGATAAATACAAATAATTTTTTTTCTTAAAAATTGGATTTTTTATTTAAATCAAATTTAAAATAAATAGCTTCAGTTTTAAAACATTTCAAATTTTAATTAAAAATTACAATCTGAACTAAGATCATCTCCATTAGGGTCCAAATTTGCTATGATGTATTAAAACCATTTTAATAAATAGAAAATAAATATTTAACCAGTCTTGTTTTAATGAGAGTCAAAGACTGAACTGGTAGAAGCCACTGATTAAGCACCTAGAACCAGAATTTGTTGATATCATAAGCTCAATTTTGATGGCAGTAATCTATTCTCCCTGCACTTAGAGAAGATTTTCTAGTTCAGCTCCATGACTACCTTCATTCAAAGTCAAGAAACCAGCTGGGAGTTGGAAAAAAGCAGGAAAGCTTGTTTTCCAATCTATTAATAAAAAATAAAGGGAGAGGCTGAGATTTAGTCCTAAAATGATGGACATGGTAACCAAAAACAAATCAGTCCAATTCACTCCCTAATGACACCACCTCCTTTGTTTAATAAATCATTTAATTATATATGCAAAACATACTCTGATAAATATTTTTCTTCTGCAGCCAGCATATCTTTGTTTCTTTTATTAGTTAAATCAAGCTATTTTAAAATGCTGTTAGTCTGCATTTTAGCCAAATTCCAGTAGCCAGTCAAAAAAAGATAAAAGCAAGTCACAGGTAAAAAATAATCATCTCATATTCATTTTCTAACATAATAAAAATGTAAAAATGGAGTATCTGAATGAACGTATGGTGACCAATGTAATTGCCAACGTTTTTACATAATGCTGGCTGATTTAATTCATCCTGAAATCTTATACTGCCAGCCAAGGCCAGTCCTACACCACATCCATGGTCTTGTAACGGCTAGAGTTTCTACAAGGCATGGTAACAAAGCTCAGGTGGATCTTCCTTGTTTAAGAGCACCCAAATACTTAGGTTACCAGAAGATTTCCAGTGGGCTCCCTTCATCCTAAACAACACACTCCTGATTTTGAAGGCAACCTCATGGAATACCACAGCTGTGCTTTCTACTTGGCTGCCTGATGCCAACACACAGAGTGCCACAAGTCAGAAAGCAGAGCTTAAAGCACTATCTAAAAGTGCAGGTGGTTTTAGCAGTGACCCCAACACTGGAATCACCATTATGGTGCCTAGTGAAAGGTGTGAGCCAAGCACTCCTAAAGTCTGTATCATGAGTGACTACAAGGCTCTAGGGGTAAAGCTCAAGGAGACAGGGCCACAGGTGATTTTTTCTATCCTTCCAGTGAGCAGACATGGACAGTGCCATGAGACATGCATCGGCGAGGTCAACCGGCGGCTTCAGAGCTGGTGTTACCAGGCAGGCCTTGGGTTCTTGGACCAGGACCCGCATTTCCACACAGAGGACATGCTCGGGCAGGACGGGCTTCATCTCTCCCCAAAAGAGAAGCGCATTTTTTCTTCCAGGATGACTCATCTCATATGGCGAGCTTTAAACTACATTCGCCGAGGGACAGGGACGCAGAGGAACATGAGGACACTTCGCCATCAAGCCAAGTGACGCACACAGGTAGTATCCAGGTAAGTGACAGGGGCCAGGGCAGACTTAGGAACAAGGGGGCGGCACAGGCACCTACAGGAGGCCTCAAACGCCTCTACACAAATGCTTGAAGCATGGGGAATAAGCAGGAGGCACTCGCCCTCCTGCTAGCTAGCAAAAACCCAGACCTAGTGGGGCTCACAGAAACCTGGTGGGATTCTACCCATGACTGGGCAGTGGACAGCCAGAGATACAGGCTGTACAGGCAAGACAGAGCAGGGAAAAGGTGGGGGATGTAGCGCTGTATGTCAAAGAGCAATACACATCCTCAGTGATCAGGATGGGGTCAAAGGAGGGGCAAACTGAGGTGCTCCAAGTAAGAATGCAAGGCATCTACTACAGACCGCCTCACCAGGGGGACGAGCTGGACCTAGAATCCTCAAGTCAGCTCACGGAGGCTGTAAGGACAAGAGATGTGGTTGTCATGGGTGACCTAAACTACCCAGACATCTGCTGGGAGGAAGTCAGCCAGGTCTGACCACTTACGTAGGTTTGTAGCTGGGATACAGGACCTCCACCTAACCCAGGAGGTGCATAGTCCCAGCAGGTGAAACGCCTTGCTGGACTTGGTCCTTGCCACAGGCAACAACCTGGTGAGGGGTCTGCAGGTACTCAACCACCTGGGTGACAGTGATCATCGCCTGCTGGAATTTACTGTCCAGCAGAGGGTGGAAAGCAAGCAGCAAGGCAGAGGTCCTAGACTTCAGGAGGGCTGACTTCTGTAAGCTAAGAAGGTTAGTAGGAGAGGCACTGGGGTCTTGGAGCTTCAATGAGATGGGAGTCCAAGACGGGTGGTTGTTCCTCAAGAAGGCGATTCTCTGAGCTCAAAGGGAGTCAGTCCCAATGCGCACCAAGGGGGGCAGGAGGGCTAAAAAGCCCCCATGGCTCAGCAAAGGCATCCAGGGATGCCTGAGGGAAAAAAAAAGGCATACAAACAGTGGAAGCAAGGGGCTATCACCAAGGAGGATTACACCTCCGTTGCTCGGGACTGCAGGGAGGCTGTTAGGAAGGCCAAGGCCGAGATGGAGCTAGGGCTAGCGACCAGAATTAAGGATAATAAAAAGTCCTTTTTCAAATACAGAGGAAGTAAGAAGGTAGCGTGGGGCCCCTACAGGATAGGTTTGACAATCTGGTGATTGCGGTAAACAAAAAAGCTGACCTCTTTAATAAATTCTTTGCCTCCATATTCCCGAACAGGGACCAGGACATTTCCCCCACTAGAACTGTGGACGGACCAAGGGGAGGCACTGCCATGCCTAGGGTAAGGGATGACCTAGTTAGGGAACTTTTGGAGGGGCTGGACATATTTAAATCAGTAGGTCCAGATGCTCTTCATACGAGGGTGCTGAGGGAATTGGCGGGGGTCACAGTGAGGCCCCTGGCACGGCTCTATGAGTGCTTGTGGGGCACTGGCTGGGTACCAGAGGATTGGAAAAGGGCCAATGTGGTCCCCATTTACAAAAAGGAGAGAAAGGAGGACCCCAGCAATTATAGGGCAGTCCGTCTTACCTCAGTCCTTGGGAAGACCTTTGAGAAAATTATCAAAGAGCACATCTGCAAGGGCCCAGCAGGGGAGGTAATGCTCGGGGGCAACCAACATGGGCTCACTGAGGGCAGGTCCTGCCTGACTAACCTGGTTTCTTTTTATGATCAGGTCACAAAGTCCCTGGACGAGGGTGCTGAGGTGGATGTCATCTTCCTGGACTTTAAGAAGGCCTCTGACATGGTTTTCCACCGCATTCTCTTTAAAAAAAACAAACTAAGCAACTGCGGCATTGATGCCTACACAGTCGGATGGGTGGCAAACTAGCTAGATGGTCATACCCAGAAAGTGGTGGTGGATGGGTCGTTTTCAACCTGGAGGGATGTGGGCAGTGGAGTCCACCAGGGCTCGGTCCTGGGGCCTGTACTGTTCAACTTCTTTATCAGCGATCTGAATGTGGGTGCGGAATGCATGCTGTCCAAATTCGGTGATGACACCAAGTTGCGGGGTGAGGTGGGCATGCTGGAGGGGAGGGACAAAATCCAGCTAGACCTAAACAGGTTACAGAGGTGGGCAGATGAAAATAGGATGGAATTCAACACAGACAGTGCAGGGTACTGCATTTAGGGAGAACGAACCAGCAACACACCTAAAGGCTGAGAAACATCCTTCTTGTCAACATGATGGCAGAAAGGGATCTTGGAATCATTGTTGACTCCAGGATCAAGTCAGCCTTGACCACCTGGGTGATAGCGATCATCGCTTGCTGGAATTCATCATCCAGTGCAGGGTGTCAAGGGCCTGCAGCAAGGCAGTAGCCCTAGACTTCAAGAGGGCCAACTTCAACGAGTTGAGGAAATTGGTGGGAGAGGCGCTGGGATTCTCGAGGGCAGGGGAACTCAGTGACCAAGATGAGTGGTCGTTCCTTAAGGAGACGATACTCGGGGCCCAAGGGGTGACAATCCCAACAAAAAGCAAGGGGGGCAAGAGTGCCCGAAAGCCTCCCTGGCTCACCAAGGAAGTCCGGGAATGCCTGGTTGCCAAAAAGGCAGTGTACACCCGGTGGAGGGGTGGGGGGGGCTCTCTCCAAAGAAAAGTATACCTCCAGTGCTCAGGCCTGTAGGGGGGCTGTTAGGAAAGCTAAGGCGGACATAGAGCTAGGACTAGCGTCCAAGATCAAAGATAATAAAAAGTCCTTTTTCAAATATATCGGGAGGATGAAGAAGGCACTGGAAAATGTGGGGCCCCTGCAAGATGCGCTGGGCAATCTGGTGATTGCGCCAGAGGACAAGGCAGACATCTTTAACAAATTCTTCACCTCCGTTTTCTTGTGCAGGGACCAGGACTCCCCCGCCGTGTTTCAAGACGGACTCGAGGGTCCTGTGCAAGGTCTTGCCTCAAGACCTAAGGTTGAGGAGGACCGGGTTAGAGTGCTTCTGGAGGGGCTGGACGTATTCAAGTCAGCAGGTCCAGATGCTCTCCACCCCACGGTGTTGAGGGAGCTAGCAGGGGTTATTGCAGGGCCCTTGGCACAGCTTTACGAGCGCTCTCAATCCTGGGGAAACTCTTTGAGAAGATCATCAAGGAGCACATCTGTGATCGGCCAGCATCAGGGATGATGCTCAAGGGCAACCAGCATGATTTTGTTAGGGGCAGGTCATGTCAGACCAACCTGATTGCCTTTTACGATCAGGTCACAAAAGCATTGGATTCAGGTGTGGCCGTGGATGTAGTCTTTCTGGACTTCAGCAAGGCCTTTGACACGGTCTCCCACCCCATCCTCATTAAAAAACTAGGCAACTGTGGCATCAATGCCTACATGGTCAGATGGATTGCAAATTGGCTGAAGGGTCGTACTCAGAGGGTGGTGGTGGACGGGTCATATTCGACCTGGGGGGAAGCGGGCAGCGGAGTCCCCCAGAGCTCGGTCCTTGGGCCTGCACTGTTCAATTTCTTTATCAGTGATTTGTACAATGGGGTGAAAAGCAACCTGTTCAAATTTGATGATGATACCAAAATTTGGGGCAAGGTGGGCACGCTAGTAAGGAGGGAAAGACTGCAGAAAGACCTGGATAGGTTGCAAGGGTGGGCTAACAAAAACAGGATGCGTTTCAATATGGACAGGTGCAGGATGCTGCACTTGGGCAGTAGTAACCGGCAGCACACTTATAAGATGGGAAACTCCCTTCTTGAGAGCACGGAGGCAGAAAGGGATCTTGGAGTCATCACTGACTCCAAGGTGAACATGGGCCGACAATGCGAGGTCACGGTCGGCAGGGCTAACCGGACCCCATCATGCATCCACAGGTGCATCTCAAGTAGGGCCAAGGAGGTGATCCTCCCCCTCTATGCGACACTGGTCAGGCCAAGCTGGAGTACTGTGTCCAGTTCTGGGCACCCCATTTCAAGAGGGATGTGGACAACATTGAGAGGGTCCAGAGGAGGGCCACCCACATGATCCGGGGCAGACCCTACAATGAGAGGCTACGGGACCTGAACCTGTTCAGCCTTCACAAGAGAAGGCTGAGGGGGGACCTTGTGACCATCTATAAACTCACTAGGGGGGGACCAGAAGGGTTTGGGGGAGACCTTGTTTGCCCTAGCGCCCCCCGGGATAACAAGGAATAACGGCCACAAGTTGTTGGAGAGTAGGTTTAGATTAGACATCCGTAGGAACTACTTCATAGTTAGGGCGGCTAGGATCTGGAACCAACTTCTAAGGAAAGCGATGCTGGCTCCTACCCTGGGGGTCTTTAAAAAGCGGCTTGATGCCTACCTGGCTGGGGTCAATTGAGCCCAGTTTCCCTCCTGCCCAGGCAGGGGGTCGGACTCGAAGATCTACAAGGTCCCTTCCGACCCTACTTCTATGATATGATTCTATGATCAACATGAGCCACCAATGTAAGGAAGCAATCAGTAAGGCTAACCGCATCTACAAGCGGGTCCAGGGAGGTGATCCTTCCCCTCCAACTGTGGCCTGACCAATGCCACAGAGTACTGTGTCCAGTTCTGGGAACTGCACTTCAAGAGGGATGCAGCTAGCATTGAGAGGGTTCAGGGTAGAGTCACTTGCATGGTCAAGGGGCAGCAGGGAAGGCCCTACAAGGAGAGGCTAAAAGGCCTGAACCTATCTATTCAGCCTCCACAAGAGAAGGCTGAGAGGGGATCTGATGGCTGTTTACAAACTCACCAGGGTGGACCTGCAACAATTGTGGGAGGCTCTGTTCCCAAGGGCACCACCCTGGGTTACTAGGAATAATGGCCATAAATAGAGAGAAGGTTCAGGCTGGACATGAGGAGACGTTACTTTACAGTTAGGGCTGCCAGGCTCTGGAATGGGCTCTTAAGTGAAGTGGTACTCTCTTCTACCTTAGGGGTCTTCAAGAGGAGGCTGGACAGGTATTTAGTTGGGGTGATATGACCGCAGTACCCATTCCTGCCCAGGGCAGGGGGTCAGACCTGATGATCTGTTTAGGTCCCTTCCGACTCTAAGCACTATGAAACTATGATAAAGGGTGGGGGAGCTCTGAGGAGAAAGCGTGAGCTGTGTGAAAATTCCTGCCTCAGCTCTGCTGGCAAAGAGTCCTCTCTGGGACCACCTGCCAAGATTATGACAACCTAGAAGACTGTGCCTGTCCACCCGATCCAGGCAGAGGGGGTGGATCAGCAGAAGGGCTCTTGCAGGGATTGGTCACAAATCCCAGGCAAGGGGCCCATTTCACTGCAAACTTCCCCTAGCTGGGCAGACAAAGAAGCATGGCACAGATGTCTTTTAGAAGCCTGCCACCAATAGCTCCTTCCAAATCTCTCAGCACTGGAAGAGGAAAAAGCTGAGGGGGACCCTTTGGGTGGCAATGAGAGTGAAAGTTAGGGGAAGGGAGATTGCATCCCCTGGACCTTGACTCTTATCTCTACTGGTCTAAGCAAAAGCTTCCTCCCCAGCGTGCCTTGGTCAAAGAACACGAAGAGCTTACCTTCTCAGGAGGGACACTGTACAGTTCTGGCAACAGGCGAATTCCATTCTTCCCCTTAATAAGGACCCCTTCAAGAGCCTCCCTGTACTCCTGAACCTGGGAAGAAAGAACAAGAGAGGCTCAGCTCCCAGCAAAGGAGTCTCAGGGCAGGGATCTGTGAACCTGCCCAGCTTCTGTGGGAGGGAGCACAAGAGGGGGAAATAACAAGAGGGGGAAATTGGGACTGTCCTGCTAGAGCAAGGGCAGAGGGCCGCTTACCCAGTTTTGGCAACTGTTGAGGGCCACGTGGGTAGTCCTGCCCCTTGACAGGTGCCCCGCTCCCTGGTCACCATCTTGGGTCCACTGCCCCAATGTCTTGGGACCACTGCCCCAAGGCCAGTGTCGGCAGGGCCCAGAGCAGGCTGGCAGGGGTCTGTGGAGCCGGGCTGGGCTGCATCAGCAGAGAGAGGGAGGAGCTGGCCCGGCTCTATAGAGCCCCTGCCGGCTGGGACCCTGTACTCCTGCTGCCTTGCTCTGGGCCCCAGGACACCAGTGTGGGCCCCATGCTCCTGCTAGCTACCGCACCCACTCACTCTCAGTGCCCCCCTCAGTGGGAAATAACAATACACTCATCCTCCCCATATGGAGCCTGCAGAGCCTGTCCCTGCTCACCCACTTCCCACACCAGCAGCTCTATGTTTACGATTTATCCTCAACTGAGGTGACTCAGACTTGTGCCGTTATAAAATACCCATTTCTGTAGCCAACAATACACACAGGAGCAATCTGGCCACTATCCTGTCCAACCAGCTTTGATTCCCCACTCTGAATGGCTACATACCTATTTACAACTAGGCCAACTGTAGGCAGCCTCTAGAGAAGGGACAGGAAATTATTTCAGGTGGAGAGCCACTTACTGAGCTTTGGCAAGCCATCAAGGGCCACATGACAGGCAGCCAGGGGCAGATAAATATTAATTTTCTAAATTTTGTAGGGGCCCTGCAGGCCAGATAAAATGGCCTGACGGGCCACATCCACCACTCTGCTACTGCTCCCTTATTTTTACACACTAATGAAGTCAAATCAGCTCAGTAGCTTCAAGTGACCCCACATTCACCGAGCAGCATGCCCTGCAATGGAGGGCACAGAGAAAGAACTGTAGGCAGTCCATCAAGGGACTTACTGTACTTAAGTATCAATTAGGTCATGTCTTCTCTTCAAGCCAGGCCCCTCTGTCTATGTGTGCATACACTACCTGCTCAGCATTGCCACTGAAGATTCCATCGATGATGAAGTATGTCCAGAATAAAGGCCACTCGCACTCAACGTTCTCAAAAAGCTTCAGCTCAGCCGGCTCATAATAGAGACGATTAGGGTCCTGCAGGAAGATTACAAGTACACAGGAATACAGAACAGTAAAGGATCTCCTGAGTCATGGAGTCTAGCCCTCTGCAATCACAGGCAGCCATAGCATATAACCTTGTTCAGAAAGTGATCATGCTGCATCTTAAATTTAATTAGGGTTTTTTGTCATTGTCATCCCCCACAACTCCCCATGGGAAGCTATTCCAGGGAAACCTCTTAATTTCCTGCCTGAACTTACAAACAGCCAGTTTGCACTTGCAGATAGCAGTCATATCTCCTCTTGGCCTTGGTTACTCTCATAGGAAAAGTTCTACAGCCCCATGTCATCTCAGCAACCCTTTTCTGCATCCAGCCCAGCTTGAATGCATTAACACTTCTTGCACTCTAGTAGAAATATTTTTCACCTGATCCATCCTAGAATGGCACTTGCCTTTTTGTGGCCGTATCACCTTGGTGGCATTCTGTGATCAACTAATACATCCAGGTCTTTCTTCCCTCTTGGGAAAGCTATTCCAGCTTTATTTGCCTCCCTAGGATGCATGGTCAACCATGAAGTTTACAGACCAGGAGGGAGACTTGGGAAAAGAATTCTTGATTGCCTTCAAGGTGACAGCCTATGCATATTCCCCATAGCTAGTAGTTAACTGCTCTAAATTGTGATTATACTTCTGTTAAAAGAACGAACAGGACAGTCTTACATGATTTAGCTGCACTAAAACCCTATGGAATGCAAGCCTCACAGCAATCCAGAGAATGTGTTGGATACAGCCCCCTACCTGCATTACTTCATAAGCAGGTTACAAGCTTCCCATCTTACCAGAACCTGCAAAGTCAGCTAATTATATGCAGCTCCTACACAACTATACTAGTTGTTACAGCTTACAGTTTTTAACCAAAAGGTTGAAATGCTGTTAGCTGGAAGGATTGCTGAATGCTTGTTGCTGACAAGGCTCCAAAACATTTGGAAAAATAAAAAAGTCTCCAGCTCTGGGGAGTCTAAACACTTCACACTGCTTATTATGGTGTCAGGGGAGCAGGCAGGTCACAGGAAACCACATTCATAACACACTAAAGTGTAAATGTTCCACTGAAATACATGTAGCAGCAGCAGAATGGTGAATGTCTGAGAGAGGAATGTCAGCAGATTCACTTCCCAGTAGCTTTTTTTAATCCATTACAAAAGTTTCACTCAGTGCTTAGTTTGGTGTGTTTTTTTAAAAATGTGTTCATTAAAAAAAATCTACTGTCCTTTGAAGCCAACTATGAGCAGTTATCAGAGCTTCAAAGCAGCTTGGTGATTTCCCTTTAGGTAATGTTTTCCTAAGAAGCCATGAAAAGACAACTTCAGGCTGGGCTGCAGCAAAGGTGTTAAGCTGATGCTAGAAATGGGAGCTCAGTGGAATTGAATTGAGTTTATCCCCCACATGCATGTCAAAAAAGGTAACAAGAGGCAGCCTCTGGTGGGTCATGACAGCATAGGAATACAGGACTAGAACGGACTTTTAAATTAGAAGCCAAACAGGAAGAGAGTCTTACAGAAAACACCCTGGGTCTGGGAAGGGAGACCTGGGGCTCTCTTACTAAAGTGCCCAGCTGGGGAAGAGGAAGAATTACAGATTACAGCAGGGACCTGGACAGGTTACAGGGGTGGGCTAACGAAAATAGGATGAGTTTCAATACTGACAAGTGCAGGGTGCTGCACTTGGGCAGTGGGAACCAGCAGCACACTTATAAGCTGGGAAACTGCCTTCTTGAGAGCACAGTGGCAGAAAGAGATCTTGGAGTCAAGACTCCAAGATGAACATGGGCCAACAATGCGAGGTCACGGTCAGTAGGGCTAACCGTACCTTGTCGTGCATCCACAGATGCATCTCAAGCATGGCCAAGGAGGCGATCCTCCTCCTCTATGCGACACTGGTCAGGCCACAGCTGGAGTATGGTGTTCAGTTCAGGGTGCTGCACTTCAGGAGGGAGGTGGACAACATTGAGAGGGTCCAGAGGGCCACCCACATTATCTGGGGACAGCTGGGCAGACCCTATGAAGAGAGGCTACGGGACCGTAACCTGTTCAGCCTTTGCAAGAGAAGGCTGAGGGAGGACCTGGTGGCTGTCTATAAACTCACCACGGGGGGTAGCAGTAGGGTTGGGGAGAGACCCTGTTCCCCCTAGCCCCCTCCGGGGTAACAAGGAATAACGGCCACAAATTGTTAGAGAGCAGACTAGACATCCGAAGGCACTACTTCACAGTCAGGGCAGCTAGGATCTGGAACCAACTTCCAAGGGAAGTGAAGTGGAGATGGCTCCTACCCTGGGGGTCTTTAAAAGGAGACTTGATGTCTACCTGGCTGGGGTCATTTGAGCCCAGTTTTCTCTACTGCCCAGGGCAGGGGGTCGGACTTGATGATCTACAAGGTCCCTTCCGACCCTACTTCTATGAATGTATGAAGAAGTCATGGATTTCTCTCCAGCAATTCTCTACCTCCTGGAAGTTCTTCTCTCCCAGGAACCAGGGCTGTCCTATCCACAGATGCCCAGCACAGAGTTCCAGCACGATGGCTGTGAAAACACCTCTTTCTCCTGGGTGGCTCCTCTGCTGCTCCAGTGCTACTGATATTACCCAAGAACAGCACTTTGAAGGTCAGGAAGAGAGTGAAGTTCAGCAACTGCCAGGATATGCCAGTGTACACTGAGTGGCAGCAGATCCTGGGTAAAGCCATATCCCCTTCATAGCACTGATTACTAGTATGGCTCTTCCCACCCCACTCTAACATGTAGATGAAGCCTGCTCCCACTTTCTGTAGTCCTTGTTGATGTCCAAAGCTCTCTCTAAGGCCCCATATCGCTGCTCTCCAGGCCCCTGCCTGCTGCATCTCTCAAGCCCCTCCATTTTCTTGTATTACCTGACTGAATTACACGGGCTTCCATTCACACCACTTCAGTGCTGATGTTTAGACCCAGTTACTCAAGCCCCACCCCATGGGAATGCACTAGGCAGCAGCTGGGAAACATTCCAAAGCAGACAGATTCCAGCCAGCAATCCAGGACATGTTCTCCCTTTGCAGAATGAGGAGAAAGAGGAGAACACATACCTCTCTGGGTGTCTTGTATCCATCTCTGAGAAACCGGCAGCAGCCATACCGTCCCTGGAAAGAAGAGGCGGGAGGCAAATACTCATCACTGTTGACTACTTGGTACCAGGGAGGATACAACAGCACCCAATCTGCCATCAATACCCCAGCAGAACACATTGCTTCTAGAACCTATGGGTCACATCCCTTCCCCATGCATTAGGTCATTTTATTACAGCAGAGAAACAAACAAGCTTCCTCTTGATTAACGTCCTCATCTCCATATCAGCATCACACGGCACTACAGGCTGGGGTCACTTCCCTATACCACCTCCAATGACTCTAAGAAGATAGTAACAGAGAAAAAAATTGGGACAGGCCTGGGGGGAATTTTTTGCTCAGCAATTTTTCAGCTGGGCGGTGGCTGTCCTGCTGTTCTGGGGAGCTCTCCTTGCAGGGGCCAAGATCAGCCCATAAACAACATACCTGCAACTTCAGAATAATTTCCTGCTTTGTTTTCTCCACCAGTTCACCATCTTCCACAGCAAATGCTGGATATGAGATGACTGAAAGGACGCTGGCATCGACTTCCTTAGATGTTGAAGCCCTCGGCAACATTGAATGGAGAATAGACTAAGTGGATGGAGAAACGTTCCTTCAGACTGCAGCATGCAGGAGCATAAATATAATCACTCCTATCTGCAGCCTTACTAGCAATGGTACCCCAGCTCCCAGGTGGTAAAGAGTCACAGTGCAGAGCCCCATTCCAGTCACAGGCATGTCAAAGTTTGAACTGAAATAGTTATATGAGAGATGGTGGCTATGGTTGCTGGGGGTAGCCAAGGAACATGGAGCAATTCTGGGCAAAGAGAAGTGCTGTCCTAGCCATGACCCAAGCCATGAGGTTCAGATCCAAGTAGATGCTTGGATTGGGACCGCCTCTGACACAGCTAAGGGACTTATTCTGCCCTGTGGAGCTCCATGCCACAAACTACTGCTTCCTGCTGCATGTGAATAAGCCCACCCTACGTCAGATAGTGCACGGAAGCACCACTGTGTAAACAGGCCCTGTCTACCCACCACTGTTTCGCTTGGGCCACAAGCTAGACAGATGTCAGGCAGGTACTCCCCTGAGCATGCACCAGAAAGTGGCTACATGACTTTTTCAGCATTTGGTGCACACACAGTGGGAACACGCAGAGAGAGAGAGAGAGAGTGTTTCCATGGCAGCCATTCAATGTGGTGTGAACATACTCTATTGGATCAACCAATAGATGGGTCAAAGCTGGGCTGCTCCCTGCAAACATCTTACCCATTCTGCGCTCTTTCACTGGGCAGCATATTCAAGCCTCCTTTACTTTTCTATGACTCCTCTAGATTTGGAAGGAGTATGAGTTGGAAGGGATCTCAGGAAGTCATCTAGTCCAACCCCCTAATTCAAAGATCATCTCCAGTTAAGTGTCCTAGAGAAGTGTGAATCTACTCTTAAAAAACTTCCAAAACTTCCATAACTTCTCTGGGAAGCCTGTTTCAACACTTGATGACCCTCACAGCTAGTTCCTCTAAGAAGCATAAGAGAAAAGTCCTGGTAGCTGAGCCAGTCCAGGAAGTGCCCTGCTGGCCAGTTAGAGTGGTGCCCTCACCTGGCAATGCTGCACCTCATCTGAAAGGACGTGGATCACCGACTGGGGTCCTCCTTTTGCCCCAAAGAGGTCAAGTTCATCCAGGGCTTCGAGGGCTGCCTATGACCAGAGAAGGAAATGATAAAAGACAGAGCACATAAAGCCTGGCTGCTGCATCACCGACTCAACAGATCAAGTACAATAGCTACAGTGTCTGGCACCAGGACACACTTCCCTGCCTCTGTGCAATAGCTGTGCGACAAGACTGAAAGAGGAGGTTACACATGAGCCACAGGGCTGGTGCTGGGCTCTCAGCTCCATTCCACAAGCCTTCGCTCACCAGTGCCCTTTTCTCATAGGTCTCACCAGAAATAGCCTCCAGTAACAGGGGGACTTTGAAATAAGACTGCCCAGAAGCCAAGGCTCTCCACCCGTTTAATAGGCTATAAACTGCTATATCGTCAGTAAGAGTGGTCAACATTATAAAACAGCATAATCCTACTTTACAGATAGGGAAACAGACGAAACACAGGGGTCAGCACAGTGATATCCTAGCCCAAATCCCTCAAAGAGGCTGATAGGAGCTAACAAAGGTGGCACAAACTTGCAGGTGTTTTGTGCTGCAGCTCCTGAGTTACACAGAAGCTGCATGAAAGGGAGCAGTTAAAAAAATACAAGTCACTTTGACACCAACTTGCAAGGTGAAAGGCTTCTCTCCTCGTTAGGGATATACCAATAAAGATTTTTTGGCCTGATACCGATGGCCAATTATTAGCGAGCCATATTGGCTGATACTGATCCAAATGCATTTATCTATGAATCCATACAATCACCTGGCTGGGGTCATCTGACCTCGGTCCTCTTTCCTGCCAGGAGCAGGGGGTCGGACATGATGATCCATTGGGTCCCTTCCTACTCTATAATCTATGAATCTATAAAATGCTGATATACAGACCGGCAGCTTGGAAGAGCAGCATCTAGCTGGTAAGTCTGTTGCGGGGAAGGGAAGGGGCATGGGGCAGCAAATCAGAGGCCCCCCATGGTGAGAGAAGGAGTGGGGTGGGGCAAGCAGGGCACAGCCAGGGCAGGGAGGGGCATGGGATGGAGCTGCAAGAGGCTCATCCGGGGGGCGTGGGTAGGGGGGCAGCTCCCCACACTGTGCACACCCTCAGAGGAGGCATGGTGGCCACATGCCACCTGGATCTGGCAAGGGCAGGCTGCTCCTGTGGGCTGGGGGGGCACTGGGCTATTCCCGGAGGGGGCGGGGGCAGGGTTGAGCCAAGGCTATGCTCAGGGCAGGCAGT